AATAAATTTTTATTGAAATTTCATTTTTTTGTTTTCTGCTATCTTTCTATTTAGTCACAAACTTAATTTTGTATAAAAATTCACAATTTAATTATATTACAATTTTTATAATAATTTAATATTATTATACAATTATTATAATGCAAATATCTTTTATATAAAAAATATTTCTTTTTAAATAATTTAAGTTTTTTTATATGTATTGTATTGAAATTTCTATTAAAATGTAATATTATTAATTTCTATAAAATATAATAAATTACATTTTAATACATTTTAATAGAAATTTCAATACAATACACATATCGATTTCTTCTTTTTTTTTTCTTTTTTACCTATCATTCAATCAAAATGTACAGAAAACACATATATATATTACATATATATTTACATATATATATATTACATGTATATAACTTTGAATCAATAAAATTTCGATAGATAAAACTGATATTTTTTTGTTTGTACTTGTCGAAATCTATAAAAAAATATAAAAGAAGATACAAAGTTTTTGTTACCTCAAAATAAAGTTTCAATAAAAATTCAATAATTAATAATTTTTTCACATCAATTAATGATATTTATTTCTAATTTTAATTAAGTTTTCTAATATATAAAATAATATATTTATTATATATAAATAAAATATGTATTTAATAATCATTCATGACCAAAAACAATTATACAAAAACAAAAATATTAATCATTTATGGCTAAAATATTTAAAAATTAATATTTTATAATAAATAATGTATAAATTATTAAAAATAATTGACTTTTAATTTAAATTGAATCGAAAGTATTTAATATTTTTATAAACACAAACTTTCACACAGCTAGTTTCTTGTAACAGTAAAAGAAACTATGACCTTATGCGATGCAAAAGGAGTGGAAATATAATATTTATAATGCATGTTAACGAGAAAATAATGCGTGAGATTGAATAGAGAAGATGATAAGTTTAATTTTTTAACAATTATTTATGGAAGCAATATATTATATAGGATACTTTAAAAGGATTATTCCAAGAATGAGTACTATGACGAACACATTAGCATGACTACCGTATTGTTTTGTATGTATCTATTAATCGAAATGACCAACTCGTTCCTACATTACTATTTTGTAGAAATTTTATTTTACAGAAAATATGCAGTATATTTTAAAATTACATTATGAAATAAAAATATTTTGTACGTCGAATGAGTATAATAATAAATTCTTACATTGGTCTATTAATATTACTACGTAATGTATAAAAGTTGTGAACGTAATAGTTTTGATGCCGTTCACAACTTTTGATAAAAAAATAATGAATATGCATTATTTTTTAAAGAGTTTATACATAGTCTGACATTAAGAATATTTGTAAAAATTGTTGCAAAGCTTCAAGAATATGTAACAAAAAAATATTAATAAACATGGATCTAAAAACCATTAATTTCGAAGATATTACATTTTTTTCTATTTTTAACGTGTAATAACAAATAAAATAGATTTTATTCCAATTTTAGATATTTGGAATTAATCCAAAGACAGATAAACTTAAATTAATTATGCAATATCAGAAATCTTTAGATGTATACATATATTTATGAGAAGAAAGATATATGTAAAAATATATATATATATAATAAATAAATGGGAAGTATATCGAACAGATACTAAAAATAATATCGGTATTTATTTACAAATAATATCAATAATTATTTACAGAAAGATACTACTTTCTTCAATTTTAAAAATTGTTTAATATTAATATTATCATCATTCTCAGTACTATTGTGAAAATATTCAATGATTATTATTTATTAAAAAATTATTAACAAAAAATTTCCAAAACAGTTTAGATTAGATCAAGTTAAATTAATTTTAATTAAAGATTTATTACTACAGACAATTGATAATCTACCATTACGATATTCAAATTAAAAACCTAATCTAAATTATTAAATCAGCTTAATAATTTATTTAGTTTTGATTCGATTAGTTTAATTTTATTTTAAGATCACATTACTAATTAACATAAACTAATTGCTAAACAAAAATTTACTTAATTCCTGATTATATTGTTTATATTAGATTTAGAATAAATTAAATTAATAACTTTTTAATAATATAATGACTATCAGATAAAACTTCATAATATTATTCAGTGTAATGATTTTGATAACATATTAAAAAATTATTGAAATAAAAGAGTATTATCTTTTTTTAAATATTTTATTTATTTTATAATATTTATCTATTTTTCGTTTATTTTGATAACTATGCTTCTGAAGATAAGTAATAATTTTTATAAATACTATAGAGAAGAACAAAAAATCAGACTTGTATAATTAATTTTTTAATAGTGAAAAAAACTTGCCTTTAATCTTCCAGATTTAATATGCAAAATTAATTTTTATAATGCGTATTTTCTACAACAATCATTTTTAAAGTGAAATTTTTTATGAAAGTAATAAAAAAAAATTGATTGAATCTCAAAAATCTTGAAATAATAGAATATATTTAACAATAACCAGCAAATAATATTTATAATATCTAAATAATATTTAAATATATATTTTATTTTATAAATAATTAAAGTGATATTATGAAAATAAATAAAGATATATGTAATTATATTTCTATTTCAATGAATTAATAAATTTTTAATTTTGTCAAAAACCCTATATTTCTCAATAATCATAAAATAAAAAATATAAAATCATTTTAATATTT